GGTGGTAATGGGAATTGAACCCAGAGGCACTCACCACTGAGCCTCATCCCCCACCTCCCCATCCTCGCTTTAAAAAAAAAAAAAATTAAGACAGGGTCTCACTAAGTTGCTGAGGCTGGTTTTGAACTCCTGATCCTCCTGTCTCAGCCTCCTCAGCTGCTGGGATTACGAGCCAACATCAATTACCTGATAAAATCAGAAAGTTGGACTGTTTTACCACACAAGCCATCAAAAGGTTTTGACAGTCCAGTGGGACTATGTAGTAGCCTATTTCTAGGTACTTGAAGTTTGCATCCTTATTTTAAAGGATACAGAAATACCGTAACTACCTCAATAAGCTACTTTTGTACCCTGGCATACCTGAAGATTTTGCAGAAGATACCAAATTCTAAATAGGATAATCTCTTCAAACTCAAATTAGTGTCACAGATCTCTCCAGAAAAGAAATTTATTAATAATCACATTGCTGAAAAGGGACACATTCACACATTCAGTTTTAGACAGAACCAAATATTCTGAATACATGCTTTCAATGCAATGTAAACTAAATAAATCGCCAAAGTTGAAAGGTTACTTGCTATAGGGTCCTCCACTTCCTCCATAATCATAGGACGGCTGAGATTGGTCATCGATGCTGTAACTTGTCTGGTAGAAATCCGTGTTTAAGTTCTCAAAGCCTGACATTGCAAATGATCTGAAATAGAAGAGCAAAAGCATGCCCAAGGCTCTATTGAAATCATTCGTTGCACTTTGCTTAAGCAAATAGTCAGAAGACAGTAAACACTTATTCCCCAGTAATTGTGGAAAGCAGCATTTGGAAGGTGGAAAGGGAGTATGAAAATATCTAGTTTCTAAGTCGAGGCCGTGGAAGACACTTCTATCTTAAGGAGCTGATAAGCTTTTGGTAGGGGCGAGGTCGTGGGAGGGGTGACCCCACAAGGATCTACAAGATCAGTTAAAAAAGATGATTCCTCAGAGGCGTACAGCTGACAACACGGCAGTCTCCCTTGCAAACCAAGGCTCATGGCCTGTCAGCAAAGTGCAGAATCCTAGAAGGTCGCGCCTAAGGTGCTGAGACCGCGGCAGAAGGAGTTGAAAAGGGAGTAAGGGTCTAGAGAAAAGCGCCCAAAGAGGGCAACAAGCCGAGCCGCACTACTATCGGGAGAGGCCAAAGAGTGTGCCACAGACCGGAGACACTCACCAATTGCGGGGGCGGCAGCGGCGGAAGCAGATGTACCTCCAGCGGCCCCAAATAACCCCCAACTCAGTTCCAGACCCTGTAGTAGCCCCGTTGCTACGTGTCACAGGGCCAAAAAACTGCTTCCGGGGCACGCCCGCTCGCGCAGACGTGTTGGCAGGATTATATTCTGTTGGAGTCCGGGTCGCGGTGGAGGGGGCGGTGCTAGATATAGAGCATGCGCAAGGTCTTGACGGGCCAATGGGAAGAGGGAAAGTACTTCTGGCACCGGGTGAACGGCGGAGGAAGAAGGCGCAGGCGCAGCAATTGCTGATTACTTGGTGGGAGGAGGGAGAATTCCTCCCTCGTCCCGGAGCTAGGAGAATGGACGGGAAGCCGCGAGATGAAACCTAGGGATTCCCTTTCCTGTGCTAGCTACAGAGCCGCGGTCTCTCTGGAAGTGCAGTGATTCAGGCGCGGTACTAACAGTTTAAAGTATTTAATCTTTGCAAACTAATGAGATGGTTACCCTCTTACTTTACGTTTGTGAGTGTTCATTTTGTGCTACCTACTGGGAATACAATAGTGACTATTAGATTTATGGTAACCGTCCTTCTGGGCGAGAGGGCTAATTAAGCACATACAAATAAATTGTTATTGATATTTTTAATGTCTTATAATTTTTCGAAAGGTGTAATATTCATTTGGGGGGAAAAAAAAGAGCCTTAACAGCCGCTTAGAAAGGGTGATGATCAAAAGGTTGTTAACTTGAGGGAAAAAGGAAGAGGGAAGGATAATGGCAGAGGATGGAAGGAGAGCTTGAGTGTTTCAGGCAGAGAGAATAGCATGTGCAAAGCCCGGAATGAGGAAAAGCATGGTGTGAGCAAAGGTGTAAATCGGGCTTTCTGAGCCTTTGCACTACTGTCATTTTGGTTTAGACGGTTCTTTCTGGGGGCAGGTAGTGCCTTGTGAATTGTAAGATGTTTGGGAGCATTCTGACCTCTATCCACTAGATTTCCAGTAGTACCCCTTCCCCTGAGTTGTGACTAAAATGGCTTCAGACATTTCCTAGAATCACAATTTCCAGTCACTTTTACCAAGGTGGTGGAATCTTGAATACTGTCACTTCAATACCATGCTATTAACCAATAAGCAGAACAGAACCGTCTTTGAGGGTACAGTACTTAAATTTATATAGTGAGCCTTTTCATTATATACTGGGATCAAAAAACTGTGGTCCTCACAAAAGAAGCCAGACCATTGCTCCGGGACCAATTTCCAAAGGAATAATAAAATTTCACTGGTTGAAACTTTTCTCTGGGCACACATAAACACTTCAAAATAAAACAAGTGCAAAACATTCTGCTTCAAACTAAAGTAGTAACAGGAAAAGAACATAGCGTCTAAACCAAATAACATGTATAACATAGAGTACAATAAACAGCTAGCCACCTTTACAAGTTCCAGCTCCATCAGTGTGAATTTCTGAAATTGCTCATCAAACTGTTTAATTTACCACTGTTTGCCAATCACTTTAGCATTTATTGATGTAGGTATCTTCTGCATAACTTTAGATAGAAAGAGCATATATTATGATTTGCTGGAGATAGTCTCATTGTCTCATTTTATGCCTGTTCCCCCCCCAACATTATTAATAGTGTCCCCTTTTCATTCTCAAGAATATCTACTCTTGGTTCACAAATTATATGGTTATGCTCTTTAAGCTACTTTATCCATGAAGCTAAGTTTCTGTTTATTAACAATATGCAATAATCCATCACTTAGTGATCTTATGGTTGAAAAAATTCTAATCTCTCTTCTTTCATCTGATATTTCTATTTCTTCCAGTTCAAAAGAGGTGTACCACTCCCAAATTTTAATGAAATAGAAGAATATGAACAATAAATGTCTGCTTAGGAATGAATTATTGAGCATAAATTTTATTCAAATTCTGCTTTTGTATGTGAAAGCAATTACCATATTTGTTTAAATGTCTTCTCCTCCAACTTCTGCCCCAACTGAGAAACCAAGTAAGAAAACTGAGTTGCCTGATTAAATCTTCCATATTATTTGACTTTGAAACATAAGCCAAGATATCTTGCAGAAGTTCCTTGGAGATTTTGAGAGGATCGATTAATTTCATGGCTAGACATATGGGTCTTTCTTTTTGGAAAAAATAAAAAATTGAAGTTGCTTTTCCTGTCTGGGATAGGCTCCAGAGAGTTATAGGAAACTGGTAAATGTGCTGTCCTCTGTTAAAGTCATCAAGCTGACTTATTTACCAGCAGAAAGCCTTAGCCAGGTCACAAGATGGAACATGAAATGGGCTCTGGGACTGCTGCTTTCTCCTGCTGTGGGATACAAGGTACCAATCACCAAACTTGTAACAAAAATGGAAAAGACATTCTAATCATGAATAACATTTTAATTTGGTTGACAGTCATACTAGTGTAACACTAATATAAGTACTTCACAAGCACACATAAAATAACTTTGATTTCTTAGAATAGCAGCAAAATTGTTTGTCAGTATTTTAGAACTACCTTCTTTACCTCTGTTTTATAGTAATAATGTCATGTGCTAGAAAAGATAGTTTGAACATGGGAAGTTTTCTCCTATTATTCAATGATATCCCCAAACACCACTTGAGATGGAGATTTGGCATTTGTACTTGTATCATATCAAGTTCCATAATGAAACTTGATAACAGTAAAAGCCAATATAATTGCCCAATGTCTTTTTTCACTATTTCCACATATCCCAAATATGACTACTGTTTTCCCCAAATTATAATCTCTTAAAGAGTTCCCTCATTCAATCCCCTGTATTAGAGCTGTTATTCAAATTCTGCTTCTGTTATTTTAATTATTTTACAGTAAATTGTTGTTTTGGCAAGATAGATTTTCCTGTAATGATACATAATACTTTTGGATAGAACTATTTTTCAGATGTCAAAAGAAATTTAAAGCTGATTTAATAATTATTTTTGGAACTTTGATATTGCAAGTCTGTTGTTTAACAAAAGCCTTTAAAGATAATTTTAAAAACAATTCTGTAAATAGTTTCATTGTATAGATCATAAATACTCTCTTAATAACGAAAACATTTCTAATCTTAGATAAACATATATTGTGGTTTGGGATAAGAACTTCAGTGACAGCATTGGAAGTCCTAGGAGTCTCCAGTTATTTAGACAGAAAGAGAGGTAATGTAAAAGAACTAGCATCAGACAACCTGTACTGGTCCCTAGTGATGGCAAAGCCACTGATGCACAGTGAAGGTAAAAATGAAGCATTTGCACATTGTGAAGTTAATAACTACACATACTGTGTGCCAGGCTCTACTCCAAGCAGTTTGCAACATTTAACTCAAATAGTCCTTCTGCAACCCAGTGAGGTAGGTACTGTGTAACTCCAGTTTGACACAGGAAACTGTGAAGATGGTAGGTAATTTGTCAAGCAGCATTAGGCTAGGAAATACTAAACCAGACATTTTTACTCATACAATCTGGGCCTTGAGTCCTTGTGCTAAACCACTGGGCAGCCTTGTTATTGTGTTATAATGTGAAGGTAGGAAAGGCATTAATTCTAATTAATATGCTACTTAATCTGATGTGTGGTTATGTGTATTTTATATGTATATAAGTTAAAATTGCTATTAGATATTTGACATTTGCATCTAAATTCCCATGTGTATATGTTCAAGTTTATAAAAATATATTTTATAATCTTTTCGCTGAGGAAATGGTGGATCAATTTATGTTTAAGTTCACCTTTTATTAGTCCTGATTTTAATTAATATTGCGTAGTGTTTAAGTATGCAAGCACTGGAGCTGTGTGGATTTATATCCTCTAGCACTTATTAGCCATGGATCTTTGGTAATTTACTTAAACTCCTTGTGCTTCAATTTTATTATCCATAAAAACAAGATAGTAGCAGTATTCTTCTTGTAAAGTTGGTAGGAGAATTATATGAGATAATGCATGTAAATGTTATTGTCTAAGTACTAAGTACTAAATAAATGTTTGCAGTTGTTATTATTGCTGTAGTATCATATAGCTATAGAAGCAATATGATTTCATCAGGAATAAAAATGGAATTTTGAAAATTTATAAGGATTAGGTTTGAACAAACTACTTAATATCAATTACACATATTTACTGTTTCTTCTCCTGCATATTCTGTATTGCTTTGTAATTTCTTTTTTGATACTGTAAATTTTACTAAAAATATACTTTTTTTTACCCTCTGTGCAAAATTTACCATAGTTGACTTGTTTGCATTGTCAGTTTTGCTGTCATAATTTTTGATATCAAACACTATTGTTTTAAGAACTACCCATATATTAGAATAATTGTATTTGAAAATTGTGAACAGTGCTATTTATATTTGATGTTCTTGATGTGTTTTGTGGTATTTCAAACACTAAAGAAAATATTTTCTTGTTTCTTCTTATTCTGTCTCTCCTCTTCCTCTAACACAAGGAATTTATCAGGAGACAGTAAATAAGATGAATTATGTTATGAAAGATGTTTTATTTTTAAGAAAATGAAATTTCCCAGTCAAATGGAACAGTTTTCACAAAAATTTTAATACGTAATGTTTCTTACAATCAAGAGGGCTCAGGGTTTACTACACTCAATGAAAGGAAAGCCTGAAAGTTACTGCAAGTGTAATATATCATGGCCAGCCTTCCTTTTAGCAGTGTACCTTTTATATTTTTCTGTTAGAATTCTTTATGACCTTCTCAATTACATATACTATAAGCTACCTCTGCTTATCATTACATTTTAAGTATTTGCTGATATGAGGAATGTCATATTAAACTCTATTTTATTATAAGACATCATTTCTAGGGATAGACTTTGTTGCACCAGGAGCTTTAAGCCAGATCAGTTTTCATTGTTATTTATCTTTACATATTTTGAAGTATACATGTTAAAGCCATAGTGTTCTAATTTTTCATTTTGATCTGATTTTCACATTAATATGTTGATAATAACAGTATCTCACCAGAATATGAGTCAGGTCACTAGATATGAGGCAAGTAGAATTTGTGGGAGAGCATCCTAGCTTATTGCCCATATATAGCAGCACACACATTTTTTACTTATTTCTGTTCTAAATGTTAACAAATGCATGTT